TTCCGAGGTGGGTAAAATGAGGACCTGGATTGTTGGGGGCAATTTGCTGATTCTGAAAACCACTGAAAGCCCTATGAAGCGGTATATAAGTCTAACTGCTATTGCTATTGCTATTAATTCCAAGTACAATTGGGGCAACTGAATGGGGCCGAGCATTTACTGGCTGGATGCCCTTCCTGATGCCATGTGGAGTTTGCAGCAAATATTTTCTTGTTGCTCCTTGAGAAACATCTGCCACCACCTACAATTGAACTTTCATAATACCCGTCAGGCTCCCCAAACCAAGAAAGGTACACTGAAGTTCTTCTCAGCAGTTTCCTTTATTCTTCATCACCCAGAGACAGAATCTTACCAAATTAAAGCAAATTACCATATTTTTCAGAGTATAAGATGCACCTTTTTCCCTCAAAAAAGAGGCTGAAAATCTGGGTGCGTCTTATACACTGAATACAGCATTTTTTGCCTCCCGAAATCCCGCCGCCTTCACCAAAATGGCCGTGCATAGCTTTTAGGCTTTCAGAGAGCTCCTGGGGGATGGGGAGGGCAGAAATGAGCAAAAAATGCCCCATTTTTCCTGCCCCCAGCAGTACTCTATAAGCTTCCTAAAAGCTATCCATGCCCTTTTTTTGACAAAAAACTGGCCCGTTTTTGCAAAAAAACTGGCTGTTTTCTGCTCGTTTTTGCCCCCCCTGAAGCATTCTACAAGCCTCCTAAGGGCTATCCATGCCCTTTTTTTTGAAGAAAAATGGGCCATTTTGGGGGAGGTTTGCAGAGTACAAAAACTTTTTTTTTTAAAAAAATCCTCTTTAAAACCTTGCTGCGTCTTATACTCCAAAAAATACGGTACTTACACCAGGGGTGTCAAACTCAATTTCGTTGAGGGTCACATCAGGACTGTGGTTGACCTCAGGGGTGGGTGGGGGACTGATTGGGGTGGGCATGGACAGCTTCACACCACTTCCCTAACTGCTGACATGTTTCCTCTTCGCATTGGGTAGACCAAGTCGAAGCGACGTGGGTAGACCGGGCTGAAGTGAAGGGGGTCAGCCTCTTAAATTTTTCAGGACAACCCTGTGGGCCAGATCAGACCACATTGTGGGCCACATCTGGCCTGCGGGCCTTGAGTTTGACTTAACACCATTAAGTGTTTTTTATCGAGGCAACCTCGTTTATCCAAATATGGGATGGAGCATTCTGCTTCCGCTTTCATCTTTCAGCCCCAATCCAGGAGCCTTTGCAGGCAGTCACTTTCACAACAAACTATTTTTGTGTTAAATTTATATTTACTGACAAAGAAATAAAGATTTATTTATTTCTTTGTCGGTAAATATAAATTTAATACTTACATCATTAAACATACAGTATATTGAGAACACCTATGGAGGAGCCATCTTCACCTTGTTTCTCCCACACAAACTATCTAAACTTCATTGTCTCTTGCTCATCTGGAATGTAGCCCCTCCCTCTTTGGAATCCAGACAACATTCCACTACATATCCTCACCTTTGAAACCTGATGCACCAAATTCTCCACTAAGTCCAGGAATGCCTGCGTTGCCTTTGGGACCTGGGAAGCCCGAGGGACCGATGGGGCCTGGATTACCTCGATCACCTTGATTGAAGGCTGGGCCCGGTGGTCCTGGTGGCCCAGAAGGTCCTCGGAAGCCTGGGCAAAGAAGAACCAAGGAGATGTTGTTGCCAGTCACTTCTTGGTCTGCTGGGAGCTCAAGAAACCCTTAACTCATTCCAGCAGCTCCAAATCCTGAAATTGTGTCCATGTGTTGCCTAGGAAGTTGTTGAGAGACCACTTTAAAAATGATTGTAGGTAGTCCTCATTTAGCAACCATTATTAGGAGCGGCCACTTGGTTGCTAAGTGAAACTGTAACTGTGCTTATGGTCTGGCTCCAGCTTTCTTTTGGTTTACAGAACCGAGAAGGTCATAAATGTGAGGACTGATTCCAAAGTTATTTTTTCATTCCTGCGAATAGTGACTAAAATTTATATATAAAGTTTTTTATTTTTTCATTTTCATAACATATAACCACATGTATACTATTACATGACCAACATCGTATTCTATTATTAAATATTTATATCAATTCATCTTACTATCAACTTCCAAAAACGATTGGCTCTTCTGCTCTCCATATACCATATTTGTGCCTTATCCATCACTTTCTTCTCCCTCTCTCCTCCCCCTCCCTACCTCCTTTCTTCCCTCTGTCGTCCTTCTCTTCTCTACTTCCCCTTCCTCTCTTTCTTCTCCCTCTCTCCTCCCCCTCCCTACCTCCTTTCTTCCCTCTGTCGTCCTTCTCTTCTCTACTTCCCCTTCCTCTCTCCTTCTCCCCTCTCCCCTTTCCATTCCTTCTTTCTCTCTTCCTGATTTAGTGGCTAAATGAGGCACTTGCTAAACAAGGACTTCCTGTATTGAAAATATTCCAACATGGCCGCTTTACGTACGAAATATCACATGAAAGTACCTTACCCCATTTTCATTTGGCCCTTCAGAGAAGGCTAATAAAAATAACAAAACATCTGGAGCATCACTTGAACATGATCGGCATTGACAAAATCCACCATCCGTCAATTGCAAAAGTCAGCTTTGTTTAGAACAGCTTACATCCTGCCACTCATACCATCCCATATCCACATCTGCCTATGCCAGGTCCTTGCAAGGGACTCAATAGGTGGATAAAAATGCCAAATAAGATCTGAACATTTGACTGACTGTTGACCAACCATAATAAAAACAATAACCACAACACGTAACTTTTCTTGCATTTGGAGACAGCATGAATTAAATTCCTGATAGGCTCAAACACTTGACAATCCACTGTGCCGGCCTCCTGCTGCCCTCCTGCCCCCCGAGCTCCATTTTCACTGGCAGAGGGTAGCAGGAGGCCACTGCAGCTGAAAACGGATCTTGGGAGGGTTGCATGTTTACTGTTTCTAGGGTGGCCCCATGGGACAGAACTCAGAACCCTGCGGGCTGGATCGGCCCCCGGGCTTTGAGATTGACCCCCCCTGCTCTAGACCATAAATCACGATTTATTAGCCACAGTGGTTAAGTTCACACATGTTAAGTCAAACTTGCACAAGGGAGGCTATGCCAGCATGTTTGCAAAGGTGGTCTTCCTGCCATCCCCAAGCTCGCTCCTTCCATACCTGGCAGCCCATCTTCTCCAGGACGTCCCGTATCACCAGGCTTCCCAGGGACCTTGGAAGGCACAGAGATGCCAGGGGGACCTCGCCCCCCAGTGAAACCTGGGCTCCCAGGAAGACCTACAATGACATAAACAAACATTCCCAGACTCTGCATTGCTGTAGGAAAAAAGAGCCCGGAAGAGATAATGTACATTAATTGACTAAGCGATGGACATGTTGAATTTGAAATGGCTAATTCTGCTAAGAGGAAATGGCTGCGCTCCAGCCCCCCGCCCCACCCCCATGACCCAAAAATCAGCTGGTTGGTGGAAGGTGCACGCACATCTGTGGTGGACCTGAGTTGGGGTGATGGCTTACATGCCCACAGAAAGGGTTCTGCATGCCATAGGTGGCACGCGTGCCATAGTTTTGCCATCATGGAACTGTTGTGGCCCAGCAGGAGCCATTGGAGCTGCCACCAGACTCCGACAGCAAGGGGTCCTATGAGTCGGCTCTGGAGGACCCTGGACAGGGTTCCAATTCTGAGCACGGCATAGAGAGGCTGGTTGGCCACCAGGAGGCGCCTGAGCCTTGGACCAGTGGGGAGGAGACAAGGGAGAGTGATCCGGACACCAGTAGTGAGTTGTTCCTGGATGCCCGGCACCGAGGAGCTAATAGGCATCAGGAAGTACGGAAGTACAGGAGGTAATTGCACTCAGCTGGTGGTCATTAGGCTCCTCTCCAGAGTATAAAAAGACTGCTTCTGCACATGCCCCTCTTGCAGAAGTCAATGCAGGAACTAATGTCGGAGAACATTATGGTGAGCTTGGCAGGCTGGATTGCTGCCACGGCTTATCTATGTTGGATTGCTGCCAAGCTTATATGTGCCAGTTTGCTGCCAAGGACCTGTCTGTCTGTTAATTAAATGCCGTAACTTATCTTTGGCTCGGAGTGTGTGTTGGTGTGGGATAAGGGGGGGTCAGAACACTTATCTCTTAATTTTTTCCCAGAAGGGGCAGGAATCAAGCACACACGTGACTGAAAAGATATGGTACCTCAACTATTTTATTTATCA